CACCTCTCAGCAGCTTTGCGAATGGGTTCTTCAGTGAGCCCGTCCAAGTGGTGGAGGCTTTGGTTTTCTACGTACTGCACAGAGGCGGCAGCAAAGTCAGCAGGAGACCTTCTCCCCGCAGGTGCTTAGTGAGTTGTTTCCTCAGCGGTGTGCCACTGGTTCTGTCGAGGCTGCTGCACTAGGTGCCAGTGAGTCTGCTGCCGCACTAGGTGCTAGTGAGTCTGCTGCCGCACTAGGTACTAGTGAGTCTGCTGCCGCACTAGGTGCTGGTGAGTCTGCTGCTGCTCCAGATGCTAGTGAGTCTGCTGCAGCTCTAGGTGCTTGTGCGTCTCCCGCCACAGGTCTTTCCTCAGCTGAGGCCTTGCACACTTTCACACTTGACTCAGGCGCGTCACGTTGCTTCTTTCGTGATTGCACCACACTCACACCACTTGCTGCACCAGTACCGGTCTCACTGGCTGACCCCACTGGGGGCCCAGTAGTCGCACGAGCCTCCACTGTCCTCCCGTGTCCAGCAGTCCCCTCCGGTTCTCTGTCAGGTCTCCACCTCCGCACGTTCTCGACGAACTTGGTGAGCAACGCTACCATTCAGGATGTCTGGGTTTCTGAAATTGTAGACTTCATGACGCGTGATTGTCACTGCTGCTGACTATATCTTACGCCTGCTGCGCGACGACGTAAAACTGCAGCGGATGATGCAAATCTGACGCGGATGATGCATGGCGTGCTGCTGGCGCGGAACTGCATTGGCAGGTGTACACTTCGCGCGATAGAAGTGACGACATGGCGTTCGTCAGCGGCTGATGGTGCGCGTCTGCTGCAGTATCTTCCTGTCCATGCCTCTTCATGCGCTCCTGTTGCTTTTGGCATGCAACTATAGAATCATGGCGTGCTATTCCAGTGCATGGCGCGCAACTGCATCACCTCATGTTCGTCTCGGGCAGCATGTGACGGCGGCAGCAGCTGTTGACAGGTAGCAGCAACTGGCGACGACAGGGGCTGGTGAGCGGCGGCGGGCGTATAGCAGCAGCATGCGCCAACCAGCGGCATCGACGGGCGGATGTAGCAGCAGAGTCTAGCGCAATGCAGCAGCTGGTGGCGCACTGCACCAATAGCAGCCAATGGCGTATGGCAGCAGCATCACATGGCAAACTGAAGTAGCATGATGGTGAGTAAACCTTAGCTCGCTTGTGCGTTGATGACATAAAGTTGTGCAAGTCTTGAATGCACACCAGGGTATGATGCTAGAATGTGAACAATGGAATGAATGAGTAGTAATAACAAGTAAAACCCTAGATATAGGAAACCTTAACCATGCAAGCAAACACAACTATAACACATAGACTAGACTAAACAGCACATATAAAATATATGTTGACACACTCCCATAGTCTACGTGATGGCATTCTTGTGGAAGCAACACACATCTCAAGGTGGAGCACAAAGTCACCACATAGTCTGAGGGCAAGGGTCACAAGACCAGATAGCAAGAACAAGCATTGGTCACAAGACCAGTCCACAAGAACAAGACAAATCTTAGGTTGGATATCAAGATCACCACACTGTACGAGAACAAGCAAGGGGGCACAAGGCCAGTCCACATGCATGTATATAGCAGATATAGGAGATTCAAGAGCACAAGTCAAGCAAGACAAGCATCTCTACGTGGCTCCTCCTCTGCCCTCTCCTGTTGCGGCGGCAACTGCACATGCTGCTGCGGCCGTGACTCCTCCTCTGCCCTCTCCTGCTGTTGCTCTGACTGAACCTGGTGCGGGGGTTGTGACTCCTCCTCTACTCTCTCCTGATGCTGCAGCTGAGATTGCTCCCGCTACTGCCGCTGCTGGGATGTTGCTGTTGCTGTGCACTCTCAACCCTCTCCCGCTCCTCCCTCTCCAACCGTAGGAGACGCTGTGCACGAGTGAGGAAACGGACGGTGCGTGGTGTAGGCGCCGGAGGGCCAGCGTCTCCAGCTCCAGCACCCCAAGAACCAAGACCTCCACCACCACCAACCTCAAGGCCTCCAGTACCCCCTGCAGGAACACCCCCAGAATCCACAGCAACCGTCTGCAGAGACGTACGAGGGGGGAACTGCGGGACTAACGAGAAGCCAGGGGGAGAGGCAGGGCGAGTTCACCGACTCGAGGCAGCCATGTCCTCCACAGGACGAGCCTCCACGCCCACACCCCCAGAGCTAGCACCATCAGCTCCAGCAGCTCCAGTCCGCGAACGTGAGCCAGAGAACCCCAGACGCGGTAGTCAGTTGCTACACCCCGAGAACCTGTCCAAAGGAAGACCAGTGTCACCCATGGCCGTGCGTCACTAGGCCACAGGTTCAGCTAGTGCGCGGCGTAGTGGACTGCCCGAGGCCACAGGAACTGGGGGGCACCGGCATGGCACATGGAGGTCTGGGCAACCTCCATGTCCAGGCCGATGCGTCGCTCAGTGACCCCGTTCTGTTGCGGCGAGTCTGGTAGCGTGTAAGCTTGACCCTGACAGAACACCTCCAGGCAAGAGGAAGCAAACTCACCATCACGGTCCGGGTGTAGACGGAGTCCATGCAGGCCCTGGGCGCCACTCCTCTATCAAACTATGTTTTTACATATTTTATATAACTGCTTGTAGTTTAGAATAGTGCAGTTATATTGTGTTCTTGTTTGGTGGTGCACCCTCCTTCTCGACTATAGCTTGTATCCCTTGCTATTATTGAAACTCTCTTCTTTGGCCCAAATCTTGCTTACGAATGCTCACGCTACTCTCGTGCCTCACGCTAGCTCTAGCCATGGCTCTTAAGCTAAGTTAGTTACCACGTTGACATGTTATCAGAGTATGGTCTCTCCTAGGACCTAAAAATTTCAATGGGCCCACCCATTCGCGGCACGGCATTCGCTGCGACGGGCGCGGCGGCGAGCTGGCCGCGTTTCCCTCGTCGTCAGCCCATTGTTTTTCCTTCGTCGCCTGCCCATCACTAGCCCGTCGCGTTCCCCCGTTGCCAGGCCGTCGCGTTTCCCCCATCGCCAGTTCATCGAGTTTCCCTCATCGTCAGCCCATCGCGTTTCCCCCCCGTCGCCCCCTCTGCCCGCGCCGACGCCTGCTGCATAGTTTGCGCGAGAGTGGGGAGGGGGGGGGGGGGCGGCAGCAGGAATGAAGGGTCGTCGCGGCTCTTCCCCCCTCGTCCCGTTTTCTTCCCCCTCGTCGCCTTGACTGCTCGCGCCTGCCTCATCTCCCCATTGTCCCCTCCACCCTAGTTGCCCCACTTGCACTCCAACCAACGCCAGCATGGCCGCCAGCGCCAACCGCAAGCCCTGTCGCCCGCCCCTTCGTCTTCCCTCCCACGGCTGCTGCTTGGGGGGGGGGGAGGTGGCGGGGTCGGGGGATGGGGGGGCTGGCCGCCGTGAGCAGAAGCAGTACAGCCACCTCCTCCTCCTCTCGCTCACTCCCACATGTGCTGTTGAGAAGGGGGGGCTGAGGGGGTGGCGGTAAGGATTCTGCAGGGACTACCGTGGGTGGGGAAGGGCCTGGAGGAAGGAAGGGGGGGAGGGGGTGCGGTTCTAGGTGGCCCAAATCTCGCTTCCGAATGGTCACGCTACTCTCGTGCCTGACGCTAGGTCTAGCCATGGCTCCTAAGCTAAGTTAGTTACCACGTTGACACCCTCGCTAGTAGCCACGGCTCGAGGACCGTAGACATGTCGGTCTTCTATCGCAAGGGAAACACTGTGGTGTAGCGGGAGTAGTCGTCCACCACAATCAGGAAGAAGTGCTCCTGACGTGGGCCAAGGACCCGGGAGGGGCCGCAAACGTCCAAGTGAAGGGTTTGTAAGGGAGCCGTAGTGGGGAGGAACGAGGAGGAGTGAGGGGCAGCACGCTGCCGCCCCTTGATGCAAGGGGTGCACGACGGTGCAGGCGAGCGGGGAAACGGGGAGGCCAGAGACCAGACGGTGGCGTACCATCCTACTGAGACGCGGGAAGGACGGGTGACTTAGACGGTGCTGCCAGAGGATCAACGGGTGAGTGTGTGACAGACAGTCGCACGATACAATAGCTACTTAACCTGACCTGACCTGATCTGACTCAGTGTGGTGGGACCCAGTGTGTAGCGAGTACAGACCACAGCCCGGCTCCTTGTGAAAAGTGGCCAGAGGTACGCCAGTGACATCGTATGTGAAGAAGGCAACAGGCTCGTCCGTAGGAAAGGTGGTGACTGCTCCGAGGTCGTGGAGGTGGCTGACACCCACCAAGTTCCTGGAGAACGAGGGGGTGTAGTAACCTGTAAGGACCCCAGAGGAAGCCGCCGAGCAAGGGAGAGTGGTCGTGCTGTGGGCAAACACCGGCCCCACTGAGGGGTCAGCCAAGGCGATAGTGACTGGAGTGCGTAGTGGCGTGAGGTCGGTGCAGTCACGAAAGAAACAACTGGGCGCCCCAGAGTCAAGGGTGAAGGAACGCTCGTACTAGGCTAGTGGTAGCTGCAGCTCCCACACGAAGGCCCTCAGAGGCACCTAGGCTAGAATCTACACACACACAAAGACGGGAAACACAAGTCCCTACTCGTGCAGCCATGAAACGTCCTATTCGAGGTAGGTGCGACTCAACTGGTCCAACAGTACTCTGGCGAAGACGCGAAGGCCAGTGCGGTGGAATCGCGTCGGGTCCAAAGCGCTCACGGTGGAGGTCGTCGAGGCGATGGTAGGAGCGGGACAGGGAGTGGTCAGGACGCTAGCAGATAGTGTTTGCACCAGGGCCAGTCAGAATCCGGTACCCGCAAGGACCGACGTCGCACCAACTGCCGCTGAGCCGCTGCTAGGGCTGGCACTCCTTGGACCCTTTGATCCCCACTGCCGGGAGTGCTGCAGCTGATGTCGCTGCGGCTGGCCCTGCTGCTGCAGAACTCGAGCAGACGCCATGGCAGGAACTAGAGACGGGTAACGGGTACGGGTATCGGTAGTGGGTATGGGTAGCGGGTACGGGTAGCCGTGGGGCCTTCTAGCTGGGGGCCGCGGGGCCTTCTAGCTGGGGGCCGCGGGGCCTTCTAGTTGGGGGGCCACGGGGCCTTCTAGCACGGGTAGTACGTACACCACTGGTAGCACGGGTAGTACGAGTAGCTTGGGTAGCACGGGTAGCATGGGTAGCATGGGTAGCACGGGGGGTAGCACGGGTAGCACGGAGAAGCACGGGTAGCACGGGTAGCATGGGTAGTACGGGTAGCACGGGTAGTCTATTGCGGTTGAGTGCGGTACTGGGCGGTTCTGGGGTGCGGGGTGGGTACAAGGTGGGGCGGCGGGTAGCAGGTGCGGGGGGGGGGGGGGGGGGGGTAGCAGGTGGGGCGGCGGGTAGCAGGTGGGGCGGCGGGTACAGGGTGGGGCGGCGGGTAGCAGGTGGGGCGGCGGGTACAGGGTGGGGCGGCAGGTAGCAGGTGGGGTGGCGGGTACAGGGTGGGGTGGCGGGTACAAGGTGGGGCGGCGGGTATAGGGTGGGGCGGTGGGTATAGAGTGGGGCGGTGGGTACAGGGTGGGGCGGCGGGTAGCAGGTGTGGCGGCAGGGAGGGGACGGGGAGGCGACGGTAAAGAGGTGGGGAGGGGACGGGGAGGTGACGGGATGGGGACGAGGAGTCGACGGGGAGGGGACGAGCTGGCAACGGGGAGGCTACGGAAAGGGGACCGGAGGCAACGGGGGAGGAACGGGGACGTGGCGGGAAGGCGACGGGAGGTGGCGGGGAGGCGACGGGAAGGCAACGGGGAGGGGAAGGGGAGGCGACGGGAAGGCGATAGGGAGGGGACGCAACGGGGAGGCGACGGGGAGGTGACGGGGAGGGGACGTGGCGGGGAGGCGACTGGGAGGGGGCGCGACGGGGAGGTGACGGGGTGGGGACACGATGCGGAGGCGACGGGGAGGGGACGCGTCGACGAGGCGACGGGGAGGTGACAAGGAGGCGACATGGAGGGGACGAGGGGGCGACGAGGAGGTGACGGGGAGGCGACGGGGAGGGGACGGGGAGGGGACGTAGAGGTGATATGAAGGCGACCTAAACGAGTGCTACGAGCGACGAGGCGCTTCGGGCAACGGGGCACTAAGGGTGACGGGGCACTACGAGATCGGGCTAGGTACGGGGCGGTGGGCCCATCGGATCGAACGAGGCTCTATACCATGTTAGAATGTGAACTATGGAATGTATGAGTAGCAATGACAAGTACAACCTTAGATATAGGAAACCCTAACCATGCAAGCAAACACAACTGTAACACCTAGAACAGACTAAACAACACATATTAAATATTTGTTGACATTTACAAGTACAACCTTAGATATAGGAAACCCTAACCATGCTAGCAAACACAACTGTAACACCTAGACTATACTAAACAACACATATAAAATATATGTTGACAGATGATGCCAAGTCTGCTCGGACTTCACCCATGTTGTCCTGTGATGCACCCCCTACACTCTAGCTGACGTACGGGAGCAGCAGGAGTTGGTGGACTCCAATGTTGAGTTGGCAGATTTGTTGGATTACGGGAGAATCCCAACCAGTTAGGGTTGGGATTACAAATCTACAAATAACACACACATATAAAATAGAGTACACAAAGTGTTGACAACCTAATTCTCACAATGTTTCTTTCCCTTTATGCTTCGTGACTCCATGTCCCACGCCAGTGCCTCCAGATACACTCCACAAACCACCTCCCCCCCCCTCCTCCTCCCCCTCCCCCCCCCCCCCCCACACCCATGTGATTGTATTTATGCATATGACAGAGTACACAGCTACAAGCACATGAGTGAGTGAGGAGCTAGGTGTTGCCAGGTTGTGCAGCACAACTCGAGGAGGCTGCACAGGTGAGTACAACACCAACACCCTTGAGTTGATGACTGTCTGCAGATGGTACACCAGGGGGATTTGGTTGAAGACCATTCAGAAAGCTGCAAGTGAGATGCTGCCTGCTTGGCTTGTCCACCTGCCGTTTCCCAAACAATGCTTTCAACCCTGTCATTCTGTCTGCAGCTTGCTCTTCTCCTCTGCGCATGGTCACAGTGGGTTCGAAGTGAACCCATCGTTGCGTTGCACCTTGATCAGCCAGCAAAATTCCCTCAGGTGGGTAGGGAAAGTCATAAAGGTGAATTGCCTCATCTCCCACATCATCGTCTTCAGCGCCTTCCGGAATGGAGACATCTGTTGTAGGTAAGTCATCAGTTGCAGCACCTCTGCTTCCTTTAGCTGCACTGACTTTATCAGCTCCACATGAGTCTTGTTCTATAGGTTCTGCTCCATCGCCTTCATGATCTTTTGTGTTTGTGGACATAGGAACCGAATCCACTGCGGACCTTTGTCCTTCTCCCTCTGAAGTCCACACCACAATGAGGGGTGAGACTTCATCAGCGTGATGCTGGCGTTTAAGCAAAGGCCCAGCATCCAGCAGCATGTCATCAAAGGACTGCGGTGAGTGAATGGCCGTGTCAACATTAGGGTGGACATTGGAGCAGAATGTGTACACAAGTGTACACCAGGTGTGCAGAAAAGTGTGCTCCCAGGTGTATCCAAGTGCACTCCAAGTGTTCACGAAAGTGTACTCTCTTCACGACCATGCTCATTCGATGATGCATCATCATGGCCATGACCAGGATCATGGGCGGATGTAAGTGCTGGCTCATATTGCACCATGAGCACTCCATGTACGTTCTTGTCAAGTCCAATCCATACACGCCCATCTCCATCAGGCATGGTGTTTTCGGTGTCCCCATCAGCCATGGTGTTGACGTGAGACCCCCTTTTCAGCAGCTAACAATAGGAGAAGAGGTTGTTCTTCATGCTAGGTACATAGAGGACTTCAGTGTAGCGAAATGTTGTCCCATCAGGTGCCATTGATTTGACCATTCCCATCATTGTGCTGCTCAGATGACTCCCATCAGCAAGCTCCACATACACAGGTTCATGACCCCCGCTACCTCCTCCACCCCCACCACCCCCACCCTTGCCACCCTTGCCCTTGCCGCTGCGGCGCCTCCCACTAGGAGCAGACGCAACACCGACCTCCTCAGCATCAAGGAAGTCCACAGCACCAGCAGAGGCAACAGACGGCGCGAGTAGGGAGGGGGAGCACCCCTCAAAGACAGAGGGGAGGGGAGTGCCACGAGAGGCAGCGACAACTAGTGTAGCGGACTCAGCCTCTAACGAGGCGAGGGTGATGTTTGTGGGGTCTAGAATAAGAAAGTGGTCACAAACAGCACTAAGGGAGTCAGGGAGGTGGGTCGTGAGAAAGTAAATGGTGAGATACATCGGGGGCCTGTTCTCAGCTAGAAAGGCGGGCTTGAGAGCGGCACGGTAGCGGGTGTTAAGGGAGCGCAGGTGAGTCAGGAGGTCAGCTACACTGGTGAAGTCTGGCAGCTCAGGAAAGAGGAACAGCAGTACCAGACGGCCTACAGTGGCAAACGACGGGGAGGAGTAGCGCTTGACTACAGTGTCGTAAAGTGCCTTGGCCGTCGTAAGCTGGCGAAAGTGGGTGCGCTGGTCTAGCGGAAGGTGACTACGGACCGAAAGAGCGGCAGTAGCGTCACGAGAAGTCCACTGGGACCTGACTACACGGTCAGCTGAGGCAGCAGGGGCATCGAGGGACCCCGAGGTATGCTAAAAAAGAGAGACATCCTCCCTAGTAACGCTCTGCACGTACCAATGGAGGTCCTCTAGCCAGGACTCAAAATATATCGGGTGGCCCTTGGCGTCAAAGGTGAGCACAATGGGAGTTGCCATAGTAGCAGTAACAGCAGCAGCAGCAGCAGCAGCAGCAGCAACAGCAGTAGTAGCAGTAGCAGCAGTAAGGGCGGCAGTAGCTGCTGGACTGGTGCTGAACAACACTGGTGCGCTGGGCAAAGGCAGCAATAGTGCAGGGGGGGCGGCTCAGCTGGGCGGCTCGGCAGGGCGGCTTGGCTGGGCGGCTCGACTGGGCGGCTCGGTTGGGCGGCTCGGCTGGGCGGCTCGCAGGCAGCAGCAGCAGCAGGCGCACAAGCAGGGCAGGGCAGGGGTGCGAGCTGGCGGTGCAGGCAGCGTAGCAGGGGCGTGAGCTGGTGGCTTGACAGCGCAAGAAGGGCAGGGCAGGGGCGCGAGCGGGCAGCGCAGTGCAATGCGCGGGCGGCTGAGGCAGGGCGCACGCATGCAGCGCAGGGCAGCGCGGGCAATGCAGCGCGCAGGGCAGCGGAGGGTGGGCCGGCAGCGTGCAGGCAGCGCAGACGACGTGCGGGCTGTTGACGGGTAGCGCGAAAAGCGCGCGGGCAGCGCGAGCAGCGTGCGGGCAGCGCGGGCGGCGCATGGACAGCGTGCGGGAAGCGCGCAGGCAGCGCGAGAAGTGTGCTGGGCAGCAGGCGAGCGGGCGCACTGGACAGCACGACAGCATGCGGGTTCGGGCAGGGCAGCGCGATAGCGCGCTGGGCAGGGCAGGGCAGGGCAGCAGCACGATAGCGTGCTAGGCAGGGAAGAAACGTCGGGCAGGGCAGGGCAAAAAACAAACGCCGGGCAGGACGGAAGTAATCGATGGGCCCTAAAAAAATCGGTCCTAGAACAGGACCTACTCTGAAACCATGTCTAAGGAAATCAGGAATGGTTGACTAAGGAAGAGAGACATGTACATATGTGACCTAGAAGTGATGTACTCACTAATGAGTACCCCAATATAGCCTACAGCATATGTCTAACATTTGACAAAATATGCCTAACCCTAAAAGGGTCATACCTCTTAGAGGGTGCCCCACTACGGTTGAAGAACTAAGGAAGAAGTGGTCGATTAGGTTGAGGGAGGGGGTACAAGAAAAGTATCGATATGGTTTCTATACCCCCTAAAGATAGCCCCAATGTAGACTAGAGAAATGTAAACAGAAACATATATGTTTTGACACACCCCCATAGGCGAAATGGGTGATAGCCAGAGCAAGCAATGGTCACAAGACCAGTCAAGAGAAGCAAACAGAGCAAAGCTCAGGGTGGATCTCAAGATCACCACGCAGTCTGAGCACAAACAATCGGCCACAAGGCCAATTCACATGGAGAGTTATAATAGCAAGACAGTACACTGATTACAACCTAGCAAGAGTGAGCAAGCAGGCATAACGATATATATCAGTGTACAACAGGTGCAAGTCAAGCAACCAGCAGGTGAGGCAGAGTGGGCACAAGCCCAAGAGCAGTGCAAATACGCTGATGATCACCAGACCCAAGGGCCTTGGTGAACACATCAGCAGTGTTGGCCCGCGAGGCCACGTAGGAAAGGCGGAGCTGACAACGCTGCTGCAGCTCATGCGCAAGGAAGTAGCGAAGAGCAATGTGCTTCGTTCTGTGCTCTAGTCTCTGCTCGTGACACAAGGCAAGCATTGCCTTTTTGTCGACGTACAGAACTGGAGGAGAACGAGGCCGCTCCCCCAAGTCGGTCAGCAGGTAGGTCAGCCAGCGTAGCTCCTGTGCAGCCATGGCCCCAGCATAGATCTCGGCCTCACAGCTGGAACCAAGCACAGAAGAAGAACGAGTGGACCTCCACGAGACAGAACCAGAGCCAAGACTGAAGGTGTAACCTTGTGACAACCGCTGAGTCGACTGGTCGTCGGCCCAAGAAGCACCGGAGTGTCCTGTGAGTACCACTGAACCCCGTCCTCCAAGCACGAGCCCCATGCCCAATGTACTGCACAAGTAACGCAGTACCCTCTTCGCAGCATCCCAGTGCACCTTTCGGTGTCGACCGGGAGCCACGTAGCGAGCCAGAAGGCTGAGAGGGTATGCGAGTTTAGGTCGCGTGTAAGTCATCAGGTACATGAGGCAACCCACAAGCTCTGGGTACGGACCACTCAGCTCTACGGACTCGTCCAAAGGTGGAGCTGAGAGTGAGTGGCCGATAGATAGAGGAGTGGGCTGTGGCGAGGAGAACTGGAAGCCGAAGCGCTGAAGGACCTGGTGCAC